TAAGGGTTCCTCTGCCGTCGTACAGAGCGCTTCCTCCGCCAACCCAGCCGCAGCCTCGCCCAGCTGGGGATTACAACGCAGGGTTTCTAGGTCAGACCATGTTACATCGGGCGGAAATTTCTTGGGAGGGATCCGGCCTCCGCTTGGAAGGAAAGGAGGATTTCAGTGTCCTCTTCCCCAGATGTCTGCAAGGCTGGTAACAAGCTGTTCTTCCCACCCCTCCCTCTTTGTGGAGCAGCGAAAGCTCTGAAGGAGGCAGGTGTTGCAGGAGAAAGGAGGGGGAGGCGAGTCAGGAGAGAGGGGGTGCATGCTAGGATCCTGTGCCCCCCCCCACATCTGATCCCTTTCACTGCAATGGCTGCCCCCCCCCCTTTTCCTTCCTTCCCTCCCTCCCAGGTCCCTGGAGAACGTGCCGCATGTTCAAGGCTCAGCGGCACATTAACTGGCTGCCATACATAATTCACACCGGATTGCCACAAAGCCAGCCTCCCTCCCTCCCCATTCTCAGCTAGCATCTGGGAGTAAAAATAGCAACAAAGCCCGGCTAAGAATAGCATCCAACCCCACCCAGCTCCCATGCCCCAGGAGTGGGGAAATGGCAGTACACCGGAGTGGGGTACCGATGCATCCATCTCCCATCCCAGCGCCTCTTTTCCCAGGTCAAGGATGAGGTAGCCCTCTCTTGTCTTCCCCAGCCAGGATAAACCAAGGATTCTCGCCCCGGTGGCTGTTGGGAGGCAGCGACGCTTCTGAAAGCCAATTGCGGGGAAGTGCAGGAGGGGAAAGAGCTAAGGTTTCCCACACATCTGGCTGGGCGAGATGGGCCACTGGCCATAGCAAACGGACTCGTCTTATGTGAGGGATGATGGGAGTTGTAGTCAAGCAAATCTCTAGATGGCTGCAAGTTCTCCATCCTTGAACTAGGTCAGGGCTTCCCAAACTTGGGTCTCCCAGTGGTGTTGGACTACAACTCCCATCATCCCTAGCTAGCAGGGGTGATGGGAATTGTAGTCCAAAAACAGCTGGAGAAGCCCTGAACAGTTTGGGAAGCCCTGAACTAGGTGGAGACCAAACCACAAGCACAGCTTGTATGTTCTGAGTCCAATAGGTTCCTGAGGTGCGAAACCTGTGTCTAGACTCTGCCAATTCAGGCTTGGAGGGCTCCCATAATGGAACGATCTTCCATATAAATAGGCATACCCCTGCATATAGAAAGCTAGCATGCCATGGAGAAAGCTGACCTAGAACTCTTCCAGACATGAGTTGTCTGTGTGCAGGGATTTCTATTTTGGTATGGAGGATCTCGTATCTTCACTCTGAAGCAATTCAACCCGGTAATTTTTTAACTACTGAAAACTAGGCTTCAGGGTGACCAGCTGTGGTAGCAGATGGCTTTCATGTGCCCTTTGTAGCTGGGTAGAAAAATTTGGAGGGTGCACCATAGCTGTGGATGTTGGTTCTGGGGCGGGTGAGGTGGAATCAAAACTTAGCATACGTTTGCTAAGACTCCGGAGCACTGCGTTGTGTCAGAACTAGGATGCATTATTGTGGTAAGATGCACAAGCCACTCTCTTGATGATACAGATTTAGCAGGAACGATAAGGTAGCTCCGTCTAGATTTCTCCGCAATTTTCTGTTTTAGGATTAAATAACGTGGGTTAAACCACAGAGCCTAGGACTTGCCGATCAGAAGGTCGGCGGTTCGAATCCCCACGACGGGATGAGCTCCCGTTGCTCAGTCCCTGCTCCTGCCAACCTAGCAGTTCGAAAGCACGTCAAAGTGCAAGTAGATAAATAGGTACCACTCCAGTGGGAAGGTGAACAGAGTTTCCGTGCGCTGCTCTGGTTCGCCAGAAGCGGCTTAGTCATGCTGGCCACATCACCAGCATGCTGTACGCCGGCTCCCTCGGCCAATAAAGCGAGATGAGCACCGCAACCCCAGAGTCGTCTGTGACTGGACCTAATGGTCAGGGGTCCCTTTACCTTTACCTAATATGCATTAGGGGGGTGAGAGGAAGAGTTTTGACCAGTTGAAAACCACCAGTGAAGAAGTCTTTGCAGCTGGCATTGCCTTTCCACGGGGCTTCAGGATACAGCCTCTTCCTCTCTTTTCTGCAAGCATTAAGATGCTTGGGGAGACATGCTACCCAGAGCCAGAGCCCAACATCATTGGGTGGGCCACAGGTTCTTGCATCCTCCCTGCTTCGTTAAAAGTCACCCTGGTGGTCCCAGCTCTCATCTTCCTCGCTCCCTATCGTTTGTGGAACGGGGTACAAAAGTTCTGGGCTCCTCAGATGGTAGCCAGCTTCCTAACCGGCTCTGTTCTTGTGCCTTGAGCAGCAGCGGCCTGACAAAGAGAAATTAAACCAGCTGCTAAAGCTTTTTCCAGCTTCAGGCAATGCTTCCTCGCCACCAGCCTTTGATTTCCGCACACAAGGTGGCTGTTTACAGGCCCAGGGCTGCTTCAAAAAATTGGCATCCCTCTGCCCTCGCCACACCTGTCTCTTTCCCCTGTCTCTAACAAGGGAACCACTTTTTCTTCCTCTCTTATCTTCCTAGTGAATGGGAGGAGGATCGACGGCAAAGCAGGGATGACACGTTGGCAGCTGTTAGAGCCCCGCCAGGCACAGGGCACTATTAATAGAGACATACATATGAATGAGATCTCACCTCATTCCCAGTGCAAATGAGCAGGCAAGGGGCAGGGAGAAGGCAAGGCGTCTGCTCCTCTGGCCACCTCCATTCGACTCAGTCGAAAGCCTGCACAGACGAGGGTGGCCAGAGGCAAGAGAGGGCCAGGGCTGCCCCGGCAGATGTGCAGGAGAGGCAATTCCTGAAGCCCTGTGATGCTCTGCTCCCATACCAATCCCCCCACAGCTGCAGGGACCCTCTTTCTCGCTGTCCCCCCTCTCGTGAATGCTTTGGTGATTTGCTTAGGGAGCACTGACTCGAGAGGTCCCTCTTGTGACCTTACCTAAGGTTAGTCCTGCCAGCAATGTCCAGACCACTGGAGAGAGCAGGTAAGAGAAGAGAACAGCTGGAAGAGATCTGGAAAGGACTAAGGATGTCAGCTGAGCGAGGGGGGGCAGATACAGCAAAGAAACAACTGGTCAGATTTACCATATTTTTCGCTCTATAAGATGCACCAGACCACAAGACACACTTAGTTTTTGGAGGAGGAAAACAAGAAAAAATATATTCTGAATCTCAGAAGCCAGAACAGCAAGAGGGATCGCTGCACAGTGAAAGCAGCAATCCCTCTTGCTGTTCTGGCTTCTGGGATAGCTGCGCAGCCTGCATTCGCTCCATAAGACGCAGACACATTTCCCCTTACTTTTTAGGAGGGGAAGAGTGAGTCTTATAGAGCAAAAAATACGGTGTATTTTTTTTCAAAACCATAGAGCAGATTCCCTGCTCCAGGTTGGGATTAAAGCGGAGGGGGGAGGGCAGAAGGCAGGGAAAGATGCTCTATTATATATAACCACCTCAGAGGGAAGGAAACTAGTTCAACATTTTGCAGGCAGGAGATCCGAGAGGTATTCCTCAGCATCCCCAGGTAGAGAGACTCCTTGCCTGAAACCCTGGCGTCCGTTCTGGCAGTCCTGAGCAAGATGCCCTGACTCTGTGTCTCCACATCGGAGAGTGAGTTTCAGGATCAAAGGGCAAACATGGGTTGTGCCTGAGAGCCACCCCCAATTTCAACGCTGTGACCCACCTCGGGCAGACGGAGACATCCAGTTCTCCACTCTAGTAAGCTCCTTGTCTCTCTCTCTCTTTTTTGCCTGAACTCCTTTGCTCATCTGGTTGGGACACCAAAGAGGCTTAGATGGGGTTTAGGCTCTCTAAGTGCACCGCAGGGGGCAGAGGGGGGTCTGGGCGGAGGGGCTGCACAAGAGCCGCTTAGGGGATGGGGACAACGGGAGGCCGGCGGTAGGAGGGATGGGGATTAGTAAACGAAGAGAAGGTTCCGTCTTTCCCCTTGCTCTCGGGAAGCAGGAGGGGGACTCAGGAAATGCAACATCCGTCCTCCCCATAACCTGTGGGGCAGGAAGGGACTCTGGTTCTCCCCGATCGCCTCGCAGGCCTCTTTTGCACCACGAGATCTTGGGCCTTCGCTCAGGCTAAGCCAGATGGTGCCCAGTTAACCCCCTTCTCCGCTTTAGACCTATTAGAGAGCAGATTAAGGGATGAGAGGCCGCTGCAGCTGACCGGGCTGGGAGGGGTCTGTGTACATGTGCGGGGAAGGAGAGGGGGGGGAGCCTCGCTTTGCTCTGCGTCTTGGGCCCAGGCAGTCAGAGACAAAATCACCACCCCCCGCGCCGCTGCCATCCACAGCAGGGTGGCCTTGGGAAAGATGCTCCAGAGGTGCCCACGGTCAGAGTGATGGAGGCAGGAGTTGGCAGTGGCTAGGACGAGGCACCTGCTGCTGTTTTGAGCAGGCTTTTTCCAACTCCGTTTTAACAACAGCCTGACCTGCAGAAATCAAGCCAGTGCAAATTCATTTCTCGTGGCGAGACAGCGGAGGGAAACTTGCATCGACAGTGGTACCTTGGGTTAAGAACTTAATTCGTTCTGGAGGTCCGTTCTTAACCTGAAGCACCACTTTAGCTAATGGGGCCTCCTGCTGCCGCTGTGCCGCCGCAGCACGATTTCTGTTCTCATCCTGAAGCAAAGTTCTTAACCCAAGGTACTATTTCTGGGTTAGCGGAGTCTGTAACCTGAAGCGTATGTAACCTGAAGCGTATGTAACCCAAGGTACCACTGTACTTCGCTTCCACATGCCCGACTGCTCTTGAAAGCCCGGAAGAAGGTCGTTTGAAAAACAAACAAAACTGCCCCCGCCCCACACGCCGCGGCTGGGACAGAATGGTGATCTGGTCTTCTCTGCATACCCTTGGGATTTACGGAGCACGCACAGACATCAACCTGACCCTTCCACCCTCCCAACACCATCGCCACCGATTCCCCCAGCACCAACAGAGAGGCTGCCAGGAAAAACAATGAAGAAAATGGGGTTCTTTTTATTGCATACCTTATCTTTTTTATATAAAATCACATTTGCTCGTTCACTATTTACATCACGGCAGATGAGAGAGAGAGAGATCCGGTCGTGCATGAGGGGAAAGCCCCTCTCTCTGTCTTTCTGTTGTTGCTTCCTTTAAAAAATACACACACGCAAGCAACGTCCCCCCCACAAGCCTCCCCCACCCACCGCCGATTCATGCGTTTTTCATCACCAGTCCGTAAAAAGGAGTCGTAGGCACAAGTTTCCGCAAACCGCACCGTTTTGCTTGCACCATTAGTTAAGTGTAGAGAAGAGAAAATATTCGACGGGAGCCGGCGCATAGGAGGAAGGGGCAGTAAGCCTCTTCCTCCGTTTCCCTCCCCCTTGCTCCTGCCCCATGGCTCCTGAGGGGCTGGGTTTCCCCAATCAGCCCTTAAAGCGAACGTGAGGCCCCGTCCTCTGAAAGCGAGGAGGGTGTTTTGTTTTTGAAAGCACCCACTGAATATTGCATGGTTAACCTGGGAGGTATTGTGGTCAGGCCAGCATTCTCCTTGCTGCGTTGGCGACGTCAGGCCCGCCGAGGCCCCGATCCCCGCCCCAACCGAACCGGATCGGGAGCGCTCAGACGTAGGCGGACTCGCTCGACTGCGTCCGTCCGAGTGTAGGCACTTGGGCCAGCGAGGAGAGGTCCTTCTTCCGCACCTCGCAGATGGATTTCCGCCTGGCCTGTACCCCTCGGATGGCGGTCTTGATCTTGCGCCAGCCGAGGTGGTTGAGCTCAGCCAGGTTGAGGAGGACGCAGATCCCGCTCACGGCAAACATGAAGACGAGGAAGACGGTCTTCTCCGTGGGCCGCGACACGTAGCACTCCACCTCCTTGACGCACGGGTAGCGGTCGCACTCGAAAATGGCCGGCACGTTGAAGCCGTACAAGAAGTACTGTCCCGCCAGGAAGCCAATCTCCAAGGCATTGCGGAAAACCACCTAAAGCAGCGGGAGGGGAACAGGGTCAGGGGTTGGCAGAGAGCAGCCTCTACCTCCAGATGCTACTGAACTACAACTCCCATCATCCCTCACCACTGGCTGCCCTGGCAGAGGACGATGGGAACTGGAGGCCCAGCAACATCCGGGGAGCCACAGGTTCTCTTTCCTCTATACAGTGGTACCTCGGGTTAAGTACTTAATTTGTTCCAGAGGTCCGTTCTTAACCTGAAGCACCACTTTAGCTAATGGGGCCTCCTGCTGCTGCTGCCGTGCGCCACTGCTGCACGATTTCTGTTCTCATCCTGAAGCAAAGTTTTTAACCCGAGGTAATATTTCTGAGTTAGCGGAGTCTGTAACCTGAAGCGTATGTAACCCGAGGTACCACTGTAGGCCCTTTGGCGATTATCCTCGCACTCGTTTTTTTGTTAATAATGACTCAGTGGCTTGTACAGTGGTACCTCGGGTTAAGTACTTAATTCGTTCCGGAGGTCCGTTCTTAACCTGAAACTGTTCTTAACCTGAAGCACCACTTTAGCTAATGGGGCCTCCTGCCTGCCGCCGCCAGAGCCCGATTTCTGTTCTTATCCTGAAGCAAAGTTCTTAACCTGAAGCACTATTTCTGGGTTAGCGGAGTGTGTAACCTGAAGCATATGTAACCCGAGGTACCACTGTAATTGCTCGATGCAAATCAGCAGGGGCCCGAAGCAGACAGAGTAAGGAACCTCCAAACTTGTCCTGGGGTAACTGTGCTGACCTTTCCTGCGATCTTAGCTTTCTGTCTCCTCCAGGTCCCCTTGGGAGAGATCAGCCTTGGGATCTATATGTGCTGAGAGCCAAGGAGCGACCATGGCGCCCTTGGATCTTCAGCTTAGTAGTTAGCTAGACCTGGAGAACCCTTCCCTACCCAAATATGCACTACTTCTTGAATTTTCCATACCAAGTGTCTTTCTTTGTGAGAGCAACAAGGCAAGGCTGCTCCCCCAGCAAGGACCTGCAAGAGCTTGGCTTTCAGCCATGTGATAACTTTGCATCATCAATCAGCAATATTGTTCCTCAATTGCTGCCGGGGTCCCCACTGTTTGGCTTTTTACTTTTTTGCACTCATCTGCTGCCTCATGTTTGGTGGAAGGTGTTAGCTCCTTTGTTCAAACTACAGTGAATAAAGAGTGAGAGGCGGAACGAGGGAGGGAGAAAAAGCAAGTCAGGCAAGTTGGGTGGCTGCGAGCTGGAAGGGAGGTGACTAAGAAGCCTACACCAGAGAGCAGATCTTCCATGCTGCTTCCCCCAAAAGTTCAGGCAAACCCTAGTCTGAAGAGGATTAAGCCCAACAGCTTCATGCAAGGGGGGGGGGCATTCAAGGGCAGACCTCGGCCCCAATGAAATTTAGGAGGCCTGAACCGCATACAGGTGTCACCAGGTGGAATCAGTACAGCTAGGGTCCCAGGCTCAGTTGTGAACCATCTGTTGGATGATGGGGGTTGTAGCCCAACAACAACTGGAGATCTGAGTTTGAGAAACAGAGCCCTAGAGGGCACAGAGCAGGGTTGGGGGCCCATTGCCCTAAAATGAAAACAGATGTCCTTTTAAGCCCATTAGCAGAATTTGGATTATTGAATGAACCAGCAGCTTCAGCTGGAGCTGTCCTTGGTCCTGCAGCGTCCCTGTTTTCCGCTTCTGACTTTGACTTGGTCTTCTCCGCTGCCTTCTTTTAATATATCTGCCTGGCTGTGTGCAATGGGGGGACCCTCTCCCCACACACCTGCCCCAAATCCAGAGGACGCCCGACACAGATCCAGCCCCAAATCAATGTGGGGCGGGGCTAATCTTTACTTTAAAAACCAGAGTTTCTCAAACATGGGGTGTCCTCCTGTTTTCAAACTACAGTTCCCATCATCCTGGACCTCTCTGGTCCTGCTAGCTAGGGATTATGGGAATTATAGTCCAAAAACAGCGGGAGACCCAAATTTGAGAAACTCTGGTTTTTAGACTCTAATTTAAAAGACAATTGGGGGCACTGTATCACCTTTCTTGCTCCCAGCAGGGAAGGCACTTGCGGGACGCTAATAATAATTGTAATAATAATAATAATAATAATAATAATAATAATAATAATAATATTTATACCCCGTTCACCTGGCTGAGTTTCCCCAGCCACTCTGGGCGGCTCCCAATTGAGTGTTAAAAACAATACAGCATTAAATATAAAAAACTTCCCTAAACAGGGCTGCCTTCAGATGTCTTTTAATAATAGGATAGCTGCTTATTTCCTTGACGTCTGACGGGAGGGCGTTCCAGAGGGCAGGCACCACTACCAAGAAGGCCCTCTGCCTGGTCCCCTGTAACCTCCCTTCTCACAGGGAGGGAACCACCAGAAGGCCCTCGGCGCTGGACCTCAGTGTCCGGACAGAACGATGGGGGTGGAGACGCTCCTTCAGGTATACAGGACCGAGGTCGCTAAATGGCAATCCCAGTTTGAAAAGCTGGTATCGCCGCATCAAGTTCATCAGTTTTGTTGAGTTGATTAATTAGACTCAATCTACCGTATTTTTTGCACCATAACACTCACTTTTTTCCTCCTAGAAAGTAAGGGGAAATGTCTGTGCGTGTTATGGAGGAAATGCCTACGGGTGGCATGCCTACGGATTTTCCTCCTCTAAAAACTACGTGCATGTTATGGTCGGGTGCGTGTTATAGAGCGAAAAATACGGTAATTGGATTCTGAATAAATGGACAACTGACCGTTGCCGTTTTGAATTTCATTGTGTTATTGTGTTCCTTAGTGAGTTGTGCAAACCGCTGTCATTAATGGTGCTTTTTATAGGGCAGGGGGCATGGGAGATGAGGTTATGGAACCAAGCGGGTGGCAGGGCCCCCCTCCACAAAAAAAGCTTGGGAACCACTGCACTGGTACATTCCCTACTGGGCACCCCACCCCCTGGCAGCCCAACTCAGAGATTTGAGGCTGCTTCCACCCAATTGGGCTGCAGGCTGAAACCGCACCCTGGCTGAATCCGCCTGAATCATGCGGTGTGAGTGCCTACTCTTAGCTCTATCCTTGCTGCTAACAAGACCCCCCCACCCCCATCCCGGAGAATCCAAACTGGCCATTGACAGGCCCCACCGGAGCCGGACAGCATGGGAGCTGTCTGGGGCACTGGAAAGACACATGGAAGATGTGTCTTGTGGTGCTCAGAGATGGTTGGATTTCTCCAGGTGGTGCTGGCACAGCCTGAAGCCTCAGCGCCACTCCTGCCTGCTGCCAACACTGCCTCCCTTCTACGCTCGTTCTCGCCCCGCGCGTCTATAAATAAAACAGATGGTCACCATGTTGCCGCCAGACCCTCGTGCCCTTTTCTCTCGCGTAGGCTGCTGGGAAGGAAGATCAGGACGACGCTTAGAGTCTGGGCTGCACATTCTCTGCGCTTAGGAAAAGGATCTGCGTTCTGCAACCCGAATGCTGAAGTTTCCCTCTCTTCTTGTACCTTTTGCATAAGGCTATATATATTTCTGCTGTTTCCAAGGAAGGGGGGCAAACCCCTTTGTCCACCAATCCCTGGCTCACCCTTGGACAATTAGAAATCCTGCTCATCACACCCAGCCAGATAGGCGGGGTATAAATATTACAATTATTAAATTACTATTAAAGGTAAAGGGACCCCTGACCATTAGGTCCGGTCATGGCCGACTCTGGGGTTGCGGCGCTCATCTCGCTTAATTGGCTGAGGGAGACAGCGTACAACTTCCGGGTCATGTGGTCAGCATGACTAAGTCACTTCTGGCGAAGCAGAGCAGCACACAGAAATGCCGTTTACCTTCCCGCTGGAGTGGTACCTATTTATCTACTTGCACTTTGACGTGCTTTCGAACAGCTAGGTTGGCAGGAGCAGGGACCGAGCAACGGGAGCTCACCCTGTCACAGGGATTCGAACCACCAACCTTCTGATCGGCAAGTCCTAGGCTCTGTGATTTAACCCACAGCGCCACCCACGTCCCAAATTACTATTATCTTCCGCCTAAAGTTGGAGCCAGGCAGTTTGCCCACATGCCTCAAAGCCTGTCTTCTCATAGAATTGTAGAGCTGCTAGGAAAGACCAGGGTCATCTAGTCCCACCCCCTGAAATGCAGGAATCGCAGCTAAATATTTCCTAATGGATAGCCGCCAGCCTCTGTTTAGAAACCTACGCGAAGCCGAGTCTGCCACCTTCCGAGGGTGTCTGTTCCACTGTCAAACAGCTCTAACCGTCAGACAGTTCTACCATCAGAAAGCACTTCTTCATGTGGAGCATAGTTAAACTATGGAACTCATTGCCACCAGAGGCAGCGATGGCCACCAACCCGGGTGGCTCCAAAAGAGGACCAGACAAATTAATGGAGGAGAGGGCTACCAGTGGCCCTCAGTTCTGCCCTCGCAGCCAGAGGCGGCAATGTCTCTGAACAGCTGGGGACCACGGGAGGGGAGAGCTGCTGTTGCATCTGGCTGGCCGCTGCAAGAACAGGACGTTGGACCAAACAGGCCACAGTGTGATGGCCTGGGATTTCGGACTCAGAGGCTGAACCTGAGGAATCCCAGCCTGCACAGGATTCCCCACCTCCAGAACCAGCTGAGCCGGGGCTGGGGCGTGAGCCTGAAGGGTCCTCACCTGTGCGGTATCCTCAGGTGCAGGCACCAGCTGAGTCTGTTCTGGCTCCTGAGGTGATGGAGGACCCATTGCCTGCAGGTGCTCCACTCTCAGCCCCATCAGAGGAAGCTGAGGTTGCCTCTGGGTCCGGTAACCCTCCAGCCTCTCCTGAGCTGCAGAGGCTCAGGGCAGAGAGGCGGAGGGAACTAAGTTCCTGCAGGAGGAGTGCTCGCCTCCAGGCCAGGAGAGGCGAGTCACCTGTGGACCGGGGCCACCCTATGCCTCGGGGCAGATAAAAGCCAGTCAGCCCCAGTCCCAGGTTGTGGGAGCAACGTTGTTGGTTGCTAGTTCCTGCCTGCACCCTGTCCTGCTCTTCTGCCAGACTCCCCGCCTTGGACCCAGCTACATCTTTGATGGACAGCCTCCACACCGCACCATTGACCTCGGACTGGACTCGGACATTGCCTCTCAGTTAGCCCCAGGACCAGCACACACAGCCCATGTCGTTCTGTCTGCCAGAATGCTCCAGTCTTTGCCAAGGCTACAGCCACGCAACACCCAGCCGGGAGTGGGGGGAATGAATGCACCTCAAAGCAGTGATCGTCGAATCATCGAGTTGGAAGGGCCCTCAAAGATCATCCAGTCCAACCCCCTGCAACGCTGTCCCTTACGGGGATCGAACCTGCGACCTCAGTGTTATCGGCACCACGCTCTAACCAACTGAGCTACCCTGGCGGGTTGTGCCCAAAGGACAAGATGGTGCCCATCTCCAGGCCTATGCACACCTTGACAGGTGGATATTGTTTTTTGTTTTTGTTTTTTAAAATATTTTTATTAAGGATTTTCTTGTTTTACAGAAGTAAGTGTAATGCCTCGTATTTTTTTTCCATGTAACATTTTTACAAATCCATTTCATTTGTTGAGGCATTAGGGGGAGAAGAAAAAAGAAAGAAAGAAAGGAAAAAGAAAGGGGGGTGGAGGGAGGGAAGATGGATGGGGGTGGGGTCGGGTGGCGATGTTTCTATTATGCTTAATGTATGTAGAGTTTGGTGTCAGCGTTACTTGTGTTCCTTTGGTGGTGAGAGAGGTTGGGGTTGGCCTAGGGTGTGATTGGCTGTGGTGATCTTTGTTTTCGTGTGTGAGTGAGATGGGTGGGTGTTTTGGATCAGGTTAGCCATATTGATTTGTATGCTGTTGGTGGATTATTGTCATTGTCTTGTTGGGCTGTGTATGTGATAAAGCAGGTGGATATTGTTTTAACGCCGGGGGCCGTCTCTGCTATTGCACTAGACTGGCGCAGGGGGCATGGGGTGGCACACAGAATTCTGCCTGCCATCTAAGGGGATAGACGGCTGGGCTCATTTTGCCAGATTGTGCGGGGCTATGATGCAACAACCTAGAATAGCATTGGCCTCACTTGCCGCCGCACCACATGACGGGCTCATGCACGACTCCTCCCTGCAACCTCTCGGCCTTTTCGCGAGCTGTTGAGCGAGTCCCCGCCCCCCCCCATCTTAGGGAGGAGTTGGGAGTGCAGCAAGCAAAGGGGGGCCCTCTAGCGCCCCAACTGACCTGGATGATGTAGAAGCGGGAGATGCCTTCCTGTCGCTTGACCTTGGAGCTCTTGGGGGGCCGCATGGGGGCGCTGGGGATCTCCTTCACCTCCAGGCAGTCGGGCTCCTCCTTGGAGGAGCCGTCCGGGTTCTGCACCAGGATGCCGTTGACGTTCTTCACCTTCCGGCCGTCCTTCTCCAGCAGCGGGTAGAGGAAGGAGTAGCGGCGGTCCCTCTGCTTGGCCGACTGGTGCACTGAGTAGGTGATGAAGCAGAGGCTGGGCGTGCAGACCAGGATGATCTGGAACACCCAGTAGCGGATGTGGGAGATGGGGAAGGCCTTGTCGTAGCAGGCCTGGTTGCACCCGGGCTGCAGGGTATTGCACATGAACATCGTCTGCTCGTCCTCGTAAACCGTCTCTCCCACGATGGCCACAATCAGAATGCGGAAGATCACCACCACTGTCAGCAGGATCCTGGCGGGATGGCAAGAGAGCAGAGCAGAGGGAGATATTAAGGGAGATTGTGGACGGCCACTGTGACCACATAACACAGGTCCTAAAATATCTACATCGGCTCCCAATTTCCAAGCACAATTCAAAGGGTTGGTGCTGACCTTTAAAGCCCTAAACGGCCTCAAAGGCCCAGGATACCTGAAGGAGCGTCTCCACCCCCATCGTTCTGCCCGGACACTGAGGTCCAGCTCTGAGGGCCTTCTGGCGATTCCCTCCCTGCAAGAAGTGAGGTTACAGGGAACCAGGCAGAGGGCCTTCTCGGTAGTGGCACCCGCCCTGTGGAACGCCCTCCCGTCAGATGTCAAGGAAATATACAACTATCTGACTTTTAGAAGACACGCACACACAATTGTTGAAGGAGAGCCTCTGGGATTGTAGCTGCGTAAGTGCCACACATCTCAAGATCCCAAACGCCTTGCGAATCAAATGTTTTGGCTCCCGAATGCCGCAAACCGAGACGTGAGTGTTCCGGTTTGTGAACGTTATTTGGAACCTGAACATCTGGCGGGGCTTCCAATTGGCTGCAGGAGGTTCCTGCAGTCAATTAGAAGCCGTGCTTTGGTTTCTGAATGTTTTGGAAGTCAAACGGGCTTCTGGAATGGATTCCGTTTCACTTCCGAGGTACCACTGGATAGATAGATACAGATAGATAGATAGTGGGAGCTATGGTTTACCCCTCACAGGGCTATAATTCCCAGCACCCTTTAACAAACTACATTTCCCTTTATTCTTTGGGGAAAGTCTTAAATTTATGGAGCCAGGGAGTTGGGGGCTTCCTTGGAGCACCTCTTGGGAAACAGCTGAGATGCTGGATGAAAGCAGAAGGGCTTCCAAGAGCCCCAATCCACTGCAAGTTAAGAGGAATCACCAGTGTGGTGTAGTGGTTAAGAGCGGTAGACTCGTAATCTGGGGAACCGGGTTCGCGTCTCCGCTCCTCCACATGCAGCTGCTGGGTGACCTTGGGCCAGTCACACTTCTCTGAAGTCTCTCAGCCCCACTCACCTCACAGAGTGTTTGTTGTGGGGGAGGAAGGGAAAGGAGAATGTGAGCCGCTTTGGGACTCCTTCGGGGAGTGATAAAGCGGGATATCAAATCCAAACACCTTCTTCTTCCTCCGCAAATGAATCCAGATTTCATTGCACGGGCAGAGAAAGCTGAAAGCAACATTGCGGGTGCAGTCTAATACCCATTTACCTGAGAGCCAGTGGGGCTTAACTTTTGAGTGGACGTATATAGGACTGCACTGTCAGGTATGCACACAGTGGAGACAGTTTGAGAGAGTATATACCCAGCAGAGCTTCAAGGGCACGAGGGAGACTTGGGTTTCTGCAGCGACGCAAAATCTAGCAAGTGAGTCAATTTGCGCACTTCAGAGGAGGGGAGGAGGGGGAGAAGAGAAGTTGCTTTTTGCCAACTCCGCAGTTCCCATCAGAGCTGCAATATCGAGGAGGGGGAGAAGGGAGGGTGAAATTAAACCTAAGGACAGGACGCAGAGTTTTTTGCCAGTAGCACTGGTAAGGAAGATGAATGAGAAAACGCTGGCATTTGGCACATAGAATGATCGGAGAGCAAAAGCAAAATGCAGAGAGGGAAATTACATTCTGAGAGGGTAGGAAGGTGGATCAGAGACTGTTCGGGCAGCCCAGGTAGCTGGATTTTGTGGCTCGCAGTCAGGCAGGAGCAGAGCGATGCTCACAGTTCAGACCGCCTGTCCAGAGGATCGTAAGAATAGTAGAATTGGAAGAGATGTTGTTGTCGTTTAGTTGTGTCCGACTCTTTGTGACCCCCTGGACCAGAGCACGCCAGGCACTCCTGTCTTCCACTGCCTCCCGCAGTTCGGTCAGACTCATGCTGGTAGCTTCGAGAACACTGTCCCACCATCTTGTCCTCTGTCGTCCCCTTCTCCTTGTGCCCTCCATCTTTCCCAGCATCAGGGTCTTTTCCAGGAGTCTTCTCTTCTCATGAGGTGGCCAAAGTATTGGAGCCTCAGCTTCAGGATCTGTCCTTCCAGTGAGCACTCAGGGCTGATTTCCTTCAGAATGGATAGGTTTGATCTTCTTGCAGTCCATGGGACTCTCAAGAGTCTCCTCCAGCACCATAATTCAAAAGCATCAATTCTTCGGCGATCGGCCTTCTTGATGGTCCAGCTCTCACTTCCATACATCACTACTGGGGAAACCATGGCTTTAACTATACAGACCTTTGTTGTGCAAAACATATGAAGGAAGGTCCCTGCCCCAAGGAGCTTGCAATTTAGAATGCAACACAGGATGATTCCCCACCCCCCCGAGAGGAGATTTTGACTAAACATCAGGGAAAACTTTCTGACAATAAGAGATGTTCAACTGTGGAACGGTCTCCCTTGGGAGGTTTGGACTCTGCTTGGAGGTTTTTAAGCAGAAGTTGGATGGCCATCTGCCATGAATGCTTTAGTGGAGATTCCTGCATTTCAGGGGGTTGGACTAGATGACCCTCGGGGTCCCTTTCAACTCTACAGTTCTATGATTCACAGGTTCGTACCCTTTTCCAAAGAGTACTCCCTTGGATCTTGCGGTTCCACTGCTAGGCAAAGCTAAGTTGCTGCAACATTGGCATCAGGATGAAGGTGCAGTTACGTCCATGGAAAAGTTTGCCTTCTCCCATTTACAAAGACAATATAAAATACACAAATAAAATGTGACAACACGGATTTCATCCATTCATTCAAAGATTTGTCCTACTGGGTTTCAGGGTGGTGTAGGATCCATATGTATCGTTGCTCGGGGAGAGAGCAGCTGCTTTGGATGCAGAAGGGTCCAGGTTCATTCTCCAGATAGGAGAAGACTCTGGCCTAAAAGCCTGGAGAGCAACTGCCAGTCAGTGTAGACAGTATTGAGCTAGATGGGCCCAGTGGCTTGACTCTGTCTAAGGCAGCTTTCAATGTTCCTATGTAATGCAGTCAAGCACAATGATGAAAAATAAGACTAAGCCTTGGACCATTTAAAATGCGAACCGTGCAATGTAGACACCAGGCAAGCCTCTTTTGGGAGGCCTTTGCATCCCATGAAACTGCATGCACAAGAACAGCACTGTTCCTGTCTGATATTTACATCCGAGAAAGGGTTCTGCCCCAGAAGCTATTTCCTGTGCCAGCATGCCTCTGAGCACATGCAAAGTGTCTCTGTCTCAAGACCGGGTAGTTCTACCAATTCTTGCCCATTTACCAAAACCAGCAGTATGACTTACAGGCAGGATGGAGGTCCAATCTCTCTCCTTCTTTCAGAAATGGTGCACCCCTGCTTCTAAGATTTAAGCCTTGAGTAATTTGTGTCTCCTCTAATAATGGGAAGGGGAGATCTTCATTGGCTAGGTATGGAAACGGCAGGGGGTGCACAAATGTTGAGGTGCACAAATGTTGAGGCGCATAGCCTAGTCTGGCACGGTCCAAACACATCTCAGTAGGCTGTGTTTAAGGACACAGGATTCCATGTTTGTTTCCCTTTCCCACCTATCTACTCCTATTTCTAGTTTTCATTTCGCACTGGGAATTTGTTGTGTGGGCTGCATCCTGCGCATGCATCTGAGTCCTGGCTCTTATGTGCTAACAATATAAAGTTCTGACTGAAAGACCTCTTGGTCTGAACTGAGGAAGGAAAGGGGGGGAAACTCAGTTTGGGGCACACCCAGCCACATCTTTTTTGTCATTTAGCCTTCTCAGCTTGATTGTCTTATAAAGGCAAAGTCTGGCAGGAGTAAGGTAAAGGTAAAGGGAACCCTGACCATTAGGTCCAGTTACGGCCAACTCTGGGGTTGCGGCGCTCATCTCGCTTTATTGGCCGAGGGAGCCGGCGTACAGCTTCCGGGTCATGTGGCCAGCAGGACTAAGCCGCTTCTGGCGAACCAGAGCAGCACACGGAAATGCCGTTTACCTTCCCGCCGGAGCAGTACCTATTTATCTACTTGCACTTTGACATGCTTTCGAACTGCTAGGTTGGCAGGAGCAGGGACCGAGCAACGGGAGCTCACTCCGTTGCGGGGATTCAAACTGCCGACCTTCTGATTGGCAAGTCCAAGGCTCTGTGGTTTAACCCACAGCACCACCCAGTTTGCTAAAATGCCCCCCTACACAGAGAGAGAGAGAGAGAGCCAAGAGAGAATACACAGAGAGAGACAGAGAGAGAGAGAGCGCGCACCAAGAGAGAATGAGTTTGATGGGCCAGGGTTCCCACAGATAACCATTATATTGTTGTTTTTTTCCACCAACCTGGCGCCCTCCAGATGTTTTGGACTACAAATCTCATCAGCCCCAGCCGGTGCCAGAAGCTGTAGTCCAAAATATCTGGATGGTACCAGGTCCATGAGGGCAGCTAAAATTATCAAAAAGCAAACCTTGGTCAAGCCCTGCTCACATGGCGCTGATAGCACCAAGGTCACAGGTTCGATTCCCATAAGGGACAGCTGCATATTCCTGCATTGCAGGGAGTCGGGCTAGATGATCCTTCCGGGTCCCTTCAGGCTCTGTGATGCTATGATTCATCACTCACAACAAAAATATTTGCAAAGGAAGCTGCTGAGCAACAACATACTAAAAAAGTTCAAATAGATTTGTTTGAGAGGTAAGGTTTTCTTTCCCGCTAGTGTTGAATGAGCTCAGCAAAGGTAGAAAGACGGCATTGTCGCCACTGACTGCTGTTGCGAACAAAGGCTCATTCCACTTGTGTTTATTTGGGCTTTGCACAGAAAGGTCACAGGCAGGACCTCTCATATTTAGCGGCCTTCTGACCCCGCCATTGACATTTCTTCCCCTTCTCCTCCATATAGGTATTATAGACCACTTTTTCAGAAAGATGGGTTTGCAGGCACCACTTCAAGATGGGAAGAGGCTGGGTAATGCAGGCCGTTAGGAGGAAGGCTTCATTCCACAGGGAAAGAGCAGAAGATGTGATGGGACAAAAAGTGGCAGGACATTCAATCTTGGGGTGTGTGAGGAATCAAGAGAGCACGCAGGAAGGGAAAAGGGAGACAAGAAAATTTAAAGCCCAAAGACACCAAAAGCAGAAGTTTAAACTGTATAGGAAGGTACATTCTCTGGGACGTCCCAGTGGCCTCTTCTGCATCATCTTGGGTTGGTTGCCCTTGGAGACGGGATGCTGAGATGGATGGACCACTTATCTGAGCCAGTCTCCTGGGTGCTGAAGAAAGGATGCGTTGCCCTTTCTTCTTTCACCTCCCTGTTTATGCTTCATCTCAGCACTCCCCACCCCCGCACACCTCCTAATTCCTGTTAATTACATCCTCCATCCACCCACACAGTCCCCACTGCCTACCTGCCTGGCTCTCTCTTCCCCACACCTCATTATTTCTCTTGCATTTATATCCCCCACCTTTTTCCTCCAAGGAGCTCAGGGGGGCCTCCGTCCTCTTTAATCCCCACAACAACCCTGTGAGGTAGGTTAGGCTGAGAGGCAGCAACTGGCCCCCAAGGTCACACCCAGCGAGCTCTGTGCAAGTGGGGATTCGAACCCTGTTCTCCCAGGTCCAAGTCCAGCACTCTAACCACAACACCACACTGGCTCTCAGTGTGTAGCCTTTGCTTATAAAGACACTTGAGTGGGCTGAGCTTCTGCCCATGCTGCCCTCCACAAACCATGGGCTTGCCCCTCTTGTGAGATGCTCCCTATGCTATTAGTTCTGGTGGCACTGCCACTGCCGCCGCACCCAGTAAGAAGGGAGAGAAAGGGTGATGGATAGAGGGTCAAATAAGACAGCAGTGGAGGGAAGTGGTCAGATTAGGGAGACACAGTGGCTTCATAAGGCCACCCCAAATATCCCTTAAAACAGAGGGGGGCAACCTTTCACCCTCCAGCCCCACCTAGCAGGAGTGACCAGGGGTGTGTGTAGTCCTGCAGGATCTGGCAGGCCCCCGGAGTTATTGGAAGGAGGCGATTGTCAGCCTGCCAGAAACCTGTTGTCTCTCTATTCTTTCACACACACTTTCTTTCCTTTTTTCTTTTTTTAGGCCAGTCCCCATTTACAGAGTCTGTGTCTTGTTTGGTTTCTCAAAAGATAAACCTGTCTGAGGGGTAGCCCTCTGATGGAGCATCCTAGAGGTGGCGGGGAAGCGGGTTCGTTGCAGCTGCTTCGCTGCGGGTCGCAAACACTCTGCACATGCCCATTGACCTTTTGCTCGCCTTTCTGTCCATCCCCATGTACACCTCTGTGGGTCTATAGTTCCAGTCACACCTGCCTCTCCCACCCCTCTTTCTGCCTGCATCTCCCGCTGCTGTGGAAACTTATAGATTGCAGTCTCCTTGGAGCAGGGACCTGTCTGGGCACCCTGTAAAATACCCACAGGTGTGATGCTGTGTCACATTATGCCTCGGGCAATGCCATGTCTCAGGTCCAACAGCCCTTGGTTCAAGTCGAAAGAACCCACCTGCCCATAATTTTCCTCCCTGGTGGGAAGGGATAAGGGTTCCAGATTTGGCAAACCCCATTCCCGTCTGTAGGAACGTCCCCTCTTCTGCTCCGCCAAGCACTAGACAAAGCCAGGCTGCCAAGCTGATATATTTTACCCTGGTTACTCCACCAGCCTTTCCTAACTCTGCAAGCCACTCTGGTAACAATTTTAACAATCTTCCAGACGGCTGGCTGGGTGATTCTGTTTTAGATCGTCTGTTTGGCATAAGCTTTCCAATACAGAGAGGAAGAATGCACCTCTGGAAAAGGGCTGTAGCTCAAGGGTTGGACGCCTGTTTGGCATGCAGGAGGTCGTGGGTTCAATCCCCCGGCATCTCCGTGCGTGAAACCCTGGAGAGCCGCTGCCAAAGTGTGTAGGCAATATTGAACTAGATGGACCCGACTCGGTGCATAGCTCTTTCTGACTTTAATACACACACGGCCCACCCGGCATCTGAGAGAAGCAACTATTAAGTCTGGGGGAAGCCTGTGCAAGCCTTTCGGGCACTGCAGGGTTCTTCGGCGACTCGGCGGTGGGGAATCCCTGCGCCACTTGCCCCCGGCAGGACCGCGCGCTGGAAGGGAAGGGGACCCGGCGGCGAGGAAGCGCAGAGAGCATCCTTCCGGCTCCGGCAAGCCGCACCAGCTCTCCGGGTTCTCCTTGCAGAAGGGGGAACCTGACGCGGCGCTTCTACCCTCCGCGTAAAAACGCACCAGCCGGACTCTCGCCAAGCCAAGGACTCCTGAAAGGGTCTTCCCAGACCAGATCCCTTCCTCGGAGAAAAGGTCCAGGGGTCGGCAGGCCCAGTTGGGCACCCAGAGAGGCGAAGCAGCAACAGCAGCAGCAGCAGCTGTGGTTCAACCCCTGCAGCTTCGGTCTTTGCCCCGAGGCCCCTACAATGGTCAGCCGCCCCTGCCGGACATGCCCCCCCTCCTTGGCTGTGCAGAAGCCCCTCCGAGACCCTCCCTCTGGGACTCAGGCGTCCGGGCTCCCAGCCCTAACCGAGCCACCTTCCCAACTTTACGCGCGGGGCAGATCCTGGCCGGTCGTCCGTTCTTCCCTGCGCTCGCTCGCTCGCTCTCCTTGCCCCGCCGGTCTCGCCAAGCGGCTAGTCCTCTTGGCGGCTCGCCCTCTCTCTCTCTCACCTGCCTATCATGGTGGAATGCTGTTGCACCGCAGCCTCCAGCAGCCTTTCCAAAATGGTCCACTCTCCCATCGCTCCGGGCTGCACGGGTCTCCCCGCATCCGAGGGCTCCGCCGAGGGATGGTCGCCGCCGCCGCTGCCGCTGCCGCTGCCGCCCGCCTAGTCCGCCGAGTCCTGCCCGCGATCGCCCTGCTCACAGCCGGCCCGCCGCCGTCGCCATCAGCTGCGCGCAGCGGCGCCCCGCCTGGCGCAGGAGGAGCGGGCTGCGGGGGCATCCGGAGCAGCAGGGCGACGAGGAGGACGCGGAGAGCAAGAGGAGGAAGAGGCCGCCGTCGCCACCGTCTCCCCCGGTGCCCTGCTGCTGCTCATGCTGCCACCGGGAACCGGGGACCGGGGGAGCCTCTCTCGCTCGCTCTCCGCGGCGCGCCGCGCTCGGCTCCGTCTCCTGGCGCCACCTGGGCGCGCGTGTCAAGGGCGGAGAGGCGGATTAAGCGCCGGGCGGGCGCGCGGGAGGGAGGGAGGGAGGCAAGCAGGGACGAGGGCGCGCGGAGGGGAGGGAGGGAGGGCTGGTGGGTGGTGCGCGCCCCACCACCACCAGGGAGGAGGAAGAAAGTGCCCACCGCCAGGGCTGCGCAAGCAGCAAGTCCCTGGTGAGGTCGGAGCAGGAAGAGGACTCTGCGGGGAGGCGACGCCTGGATCTTGCAGCCCCGGCTCCGGGAAGACCACGCCGGACGCGGGCGGGCGCTGGGGTGGCCCGGCGCCAAGCTGCCGCTCCAGGGGGTCCGGGGAAGGGCGAGCTGGTTAGGGGGGTGGGGGTGTCTGGGGGTGTCTCTTGCAGGCTGCTGGGGAGGGACCTCGTGGGTGGAAGGCGATTTGCAGAGGGGGGAGCGGGAGGTGGCTCCTCCGGCCGCAGCCTGGGCTCCCCAGCCGGGGTAACTTCCGGAGCAAGAGAATCGTGAATATTGCGAATCTAGTAAGTAGGGACGGCTCTCTCACGAGCTGTATATGCGCGCACGCAGGCGATAGGGTAACCGTATCCAACTTGTGCGTTGGTTACGCACGATGTAATTTCGAATTTCTCACTGTTCCTACTGCTATTGCAACTCCATGGCAGTCCAAGGCCCGGGGAGGGGGGCAACTGTCCTCACGAATGAACCACGGCTGTGTTTTTGTGGTTGCAACCCGCCCTGGGGGCCCCATTGTGAAGGGCAGGTAATAAACTGGAAGCATAATAATGACCAGCCTCCGTTTTAAAAAGAGAGAAAGTTTGCTGTAGCTCAGATGCCAGGCGAAAGGTCCAGGCGCTGGGAACTCCCTCCCTCCGCCCCACTTTAAATATTTTACTTCGCGCGCACCCCACCCCACCCCCAAGCCTATTTCTGCGGGTGTCCACTACACTATTATGATTAGTGTAGGAATGTTGTGGCGTGCATGCAACGGCACGCGCTGCGATTGCTGCGAGAGCGCGCCCACACGTGCACGCACACCTTGCAGTGTTTCCGCTGCATTCATTGCTGCAGTCTGTTAACACACACAAACGCCAGGGAGAGAGATAGACGGAGAGCTCACAGGGTTCTTGCCGGGTGGTTAAGGAAGCGCGTCCCCCCCACCGCCCAGATGACGGGGAGTTGCAGGATTTCTGCACCGGGGGAGGGAGGAGGCGGAAGGCGCACACACACACACACACACGTGTTGCAGTATTGAGAGGGCGAGAGAATTGCGGTGTGTCCGAGACACTGCTGTTGCAAGGTCTCCCTCCAGCCCACCCCCACTCCACTCTGTCCACACAGACACCAGGGATTTCGCTTTGGGCCACTCCATGAAACCAGCGTCCCCGCGGCTCCAGGACTCGATCCTGTCCCGATCGCGGTGCGTGGCTTAGTTACAGGAGAGGAGAAAGGGGATTCTTCAGCCACCGTTTTCTCCGTCTCTGTGTGTGCAAGAAACCCCGCCTCTTCTGCCCATTGTGCCAAGGTCCAGCGTCCCTCCTCTGCGGCTGCTCATTCTTCTTCCCTTTTATTTTTTTATATTTTATTAGATTTGTTTAGCGCCCTTTATCCAAAGATGACAGCTGGGATAGCTCAGTCAGTAGAGTAGGAGACTCTACATCTCAGAGTCCTGGGTTCAAGAGTCCTGGGTTCAAGGTCTTTTCCAACTCTGCGATTCTGTGATCACAGGGCTGTTCACAACATAAAATATTGCCTCCCCTGGATCTGATCCTGGCCCGAAGGCTGTTGCAATGGGCCAAGCCTGGCATTCTCCAGGGTTTGATTTGAGCTGGACTCTAGGACTAGTTTTCTGAGCCCAGGACATCCACCTCTCATGTCAAATCCGGGGTGCCAGAGATTGGTCACACTTTGGCGTGACCAAGCTCCCCCGAGCTTGGCAGGATAGGGAGCAGGCAGGCAGGAACTGGCTTCTTTCTCAAGGCCTGGGGTCTCTCCAGAGGAAGGAGGTTTTTGCTGAGCTCCCACCCCCAAGGTGTCACCAGAGAAAGAGCCATTAATGAATGGTTCCAATTTGCTACTCTTGCTGTGAAGGCAAAACCTGTCTTCTGTCCCTGAGATTCTGCCGCAGATTCTTCACTGGCAAGGATCTCTTGCGTAGCAAGGGAAGAGGAACGTGCAAAGTTATTTTGTACTTTGTACATGCTCCGAAAGCACATAAATACATTGCAACGACTGCCAGACAGGTGGCCCCTAAAGGGAAAGGTACCCCTGACCATTAGGTCCAGTCGCGGACGACTCGGGTTTCACGCTCATCTCGCTCTATAGGCCGAGGGAGCCGGCGTTTGTCTACAGACAGCTTCCGGGTCATGTGGCCAGCATGACTAAGCCGCTTCTGGTGAACCAGAGCAACGCATGGAAACGCCGTTTACCTTCCCGCCGGAGCAGTACCTATTTATCTACTTGCACTTTGACATGCTTTCGAACTGCTAGGTGGGCAGGAGCTGGGAATGAGCAACGGGAGCTCACCCGTCACAGGGATTCGAACCTTCCGGTCGGCAAGCGTTCGGCTCTGTGGTTTAGACCACAGCACCACCCGCGTCCCATGTAGGTGGCTCCTAGTGTAATCCAATTATTGTTCTTCCATCGGAAGCTGCAAGTGGAATTGGAATTGATTTTCCACAATCTGAGGAGCATTAAACTTTTTCTGCACATGTAACAGCCCTGGAAATATCTGAAGGTGGCTGTCATAGCTCCTCTCAGTCTCCTCTTTTCCAGGCTAAACATACTCAACTTCCTCAACTGTTCCCGATAAGATTCTTCTAGCAATAGTACCGCTCTATTCTGCCTTGGTCAGACCACACTTGGAGTACTGTTCTGGGCACCACAATTTAAAAAGGATGTTGACAAGCTAGAAGGTGGGCAGAGGAGGGCGACCAAGATGATCAAGGGTCTGGAAACCAAGCCTGATGAGGAACAGTTGAAGGAGTTGAGTATGTTTAGTCTGGAAAAGAGGAGACTGAAAGGAGATAAGATAGCCATCTTCAAATATCTAAAGGGCTGCCACATGGTAGAAGGAGCAAGATTCTTTTCTCCTGCTCTGGAGGGTAGGACTCGAACTAATGAATTCCAGTTATGAAAAAGGAGATCTTGCAAACGACCACAACTTTATATGGCGATTATGACTTTTTCAGACAACCTTCAGCCCAAACATGCATTTGGGAACCCACTTTTTAATTTTGCACAAATTTAAATTTGTGTTGGGGCCTTCCTGCAGTTGTTGGGCTCCCTCAGCTGCAGGCAGCCTGGCCAGCGGTGAAGGATGATGGGAGTTGTAGTCCAACAACATCTGGAGGGCAGGTGCCAAGAATGCAGTCCTTTTGGCTTGGCAAGAACCATACCCACAGCTCCACCCGGTGACATAATGGAGAATTGCACATATCCTCATTAGGAGCAGATGTTTCCTGCAAGTTGCATTCCTGGCTCAGCTGTTTTGGGCTTTCAGTCGTGTGCCAAGTTTCTTACCGTCCCACTGACAAATCTTTGCAGCAGCAGGAAAAACCACTGCATTAAATCACTCTGATTGTCCATGTCTGGAGATTTTCTGCCAATAAATTTTCTGTGTGTGGGTTGTTTTTTTTCCAGAGTCTGTCGGGCAACAGCTAACACCGAATCCCTTTCAGTTATAGTTGGCTGAAAACCGACAAGACTTTGTTTGACACAAGTTTTGAATGCAAAGGCTCGGCCCCTGAACATGTGAAACAGCAGGGTGTCTTTGGGCATGTGCAGAGTGCATTTCTCCCAGCGCTAAGCAACTACAGGTGGAACGCAGGTACTTCCTGGTGAGGAACGGGTTAATGGAAAAAATATAGGCAGCTCGAGTGAGTGAGTCAAGGCTCATGCTGCACGAAAGCCTTCCTCACTGCCAGCAACACAATCATCTAGGTCACTATGATTTTGTGGGTGGGGGAATGTGAGCAGAGTTTTGAAAATGAAACAAAATCCTCTATAAATGTATATAACATGGGTAGCCTCAGCTGCGGAGACATTGCCATCATTTTGCAGGCTGAAAAATGCTCAGCTTTGAATGCTTGCAAGACCTTAGACATGAACTGTATACAGTGGTACCTCGGGTTAAGTACTTAATTCGTTCCGGAGGTCCGTTGTTAACCTGAAACTGTTCTTAACCTGAAGCACGGCTTTAGCTAATGGGGCCTCCTGCTGCCGCCGCGCCGCCGGAGCACAATTTCTGTTCTTATCCTGAAGCAAAGTTCTTAACCTGAAGCACTATTTCTAGGTTAGCGGAGTCTGTAACCTGAAGCATATGTAACCTGAAGCGTAGGTAACCCGAGGTACCACTGTACTAGTTCAGATTTACCAAAGGGATCCTCGCTAAGCTGCAAAGTTTGTAATGTGTGTGGATGTGGATGGAACTGAAGGGTTGTTCCATTATCCTTTGGATGGGGCAAATTCAACCTGTAGAATTGTACCGTTGGAAGGGACCACGAGGGTCATCTAGTCCAACCCCCTGCAATGCAGGGATCTTTCGAACCCACAACCCCGAGATTAAGCGTCTCGTGCTCTACCGACTGAGAAGGTCCCCTTCATTGACAACACTTAGGGAATCGCAGTGAGGATACCTCTGGGGCAGGTTCGCTTCCTTAACCTGGGACCCTCCCAATTTTCTCAATTAAAACTCCCATCAGCCCCAGCCAGAGTAACAGCAAAGTATCTGAAGGGCACCAGTTTGAGGAAGGTTGCCTGGCGGGGAGGGGGGTCATTTTCACAAGGAATGTCAAGAAAGTGTTTGCCAGTATGCGGGTGGCCCTGTGGGTTAAATCACAGAGCCTAGGGCTTGCCGATCAGAAGGTCGGCGGTTTGAATCCCCGTGACGGAGTGAGCTCCCGTTACTCGGTCCCTGCTCCTGCCAACCTAGCAGTTCGAAAGCATGTCAAAGTGCAAGTAGATAAATAGGTACCGCTCCGGCGGGAAGGTAAACGGCGTTTCCGTGCGCTGCTCTGGTTCGCCAGAAGCGGCTTAGTCATGCTGGCCACATGACGCGGAAGGTGTACGCCGGCTCCCTCAGCCAATAAAGCGAGATGAGCGCCGCAACCCCAGAGTCGGCCATGACTGGACCTAATGGTCAGGGGTCCTTTACCTTTACTGACGTTACAGAACAGAAAACAGATAAGATTGCCAACTTCGTTACGTACCCTGCTCCTCTGCCTTTCGCTGCAGCCTGATTTGCGCAACTTAAGCCGTTTAAGCCTTCTGCCCGGCTCCTGCATTTTCGCTTTATATCCAGAAAGGCTTCACCTGCTAAATTTGTGCATGAAAGGCTGCCGCTGCTAAAATCAGAGGAGGAGGAGGAGGGGGGCCAGGAAAAAAGTTGGCAGGCCTAACGGCAGAAGAGAAAGCCAACTTTTAAATTAAAGTTTGCAATCCAGCCAATGTCGGGTTTTGGATGTTTGAGTTTCAAGCGCAGGGTGTGCAAACACTGGTTGAAAACAACTTCCAGACTGGGTGTCAATCTCACCCCAAAAGTTCCTGCCAGGCCTGTAAAGGTCTGGGTTGATTCCTGTCAATCATGGGTGCTCCCTACATTTAAATCCTCCCTTGCTTCCCTCCCATATTCCTGGGAACTGTAGTTCTGTGGGGTGGGGTAAACTAAAGTTCCCGGGATTATTTGGCGAGGCCGTGTGTCTGCAGAATCACAAGACCAGAGCTGGTCCCTAGAGCTGGATCCGTGCAATCTGTGATCCTCAAACCAAGCTGAATGCCACTCCCTGAGATCACCCCAAGGATCATGGGTAGGCAAACTAAGGCCCGGGGGCCGGATCCGGTCCAATCACCTTCTAAATCCGGTCTGGAAATCAGTGTGTAGAATGTGCCTTTTTATTTAAAATGCTTTTCTGGGTTATTTGTGGGGCCTGCCTGGTGTTTTTACATGAGTAGAATGTGTGCTTTTATTTAAAATGCACCTCTGGGTTCTTTGTGGGGCATAGGAATTCATTCATTTTTTCCCCTTCAAAATATAGTCCGGCCCCCCAGAAGGTCTGAGGGACAGTGGACCGGCCCCCTGCTGAAAAAGTTTGCTGACCCCTGATCCACATCGACTGTTTTGTGGCTTGCTTGGAACTGATGGACAGAGCTCAGTGGCGCTCTTCTTAGACCACAACACGGCTGGTGGTTTGTGTTTGTTTGACGCTGCAACTGTGCCGAAATGGAGCCTTCTCATCTCTGAGGAGAGACCACCTGAATCACCTCTGCGGGTGCTGTTGCCACCTCAGAGATCCTGGGCGACGTTGCTATGGCGACGGCAAGGTGGCAGCCTGTTTGCCTAGGCCTGATGTGACCCGCTTCTTAGACTCTCATTAGGTGGGCTCTGAGCTCTTTGTCAAGGGAGTTAGCCGGGGCAACGGAGGGGAGATTATATATATTTTATCCATCCTCTCCTTCCTTCCTTCTCCTGAACCTGAATTGCCCTGGATTTCCGAGGGACGGAAAGAGGCTTGGGAGTTTGTGTCAGGGAGGAAGAGAGTGATGGAGACTGGCATTCTTTTCAATTCAAAACAGGCCTTTTATCTTTCCTAATCTGATTGAAGCGGCGGCCTGAGGCGTCCCTCACGGCCCTGCAAGGTGAAAGCCTGTCTGGAAGGCCCCCAAGGCTGAAGAGAGCAAAAATGGAGATATAGCTATATCAGGAGGAAG